TCTACAGTCCACATTCTTTTTTTTCTTTTTTTTTACTTTTTTCTTTTTTTTTTTTTTTTTTTTTTTTTTTTTTTTTTTTTTGTTGAGATGGAGTCTTGCTGTGTTGCCAGGCTGGAGTGCAGTGGCCCCACCTCGGCCCACCACAACCTCTGCCTCCTGGGTTCAAGCTATTTTCCTGCCTCAGCCTCCCGAGTAGCTGGGATTACAGGTGCGTGCCACCACATCTGGGTAATTTTTGTATTTTTAGTAGAGATGGGGTTTCACCATGTTGGCCAGGATGGTCTCTATTTCCTAACCACATGATCCACCCGCCTCGGCCTCCCAAAGTGCTGGGATTACAGGCGTGAGCCACTGTGCCCAGCCTCCAACTATAATTTTTAAAGGAAATTTACCATCAAACAAAATGGATGTGTAAGATCACAGAATAAAATGAAAATTTTGAAGACTGTAATAAAGAAAAAAATATTTAGGAAAACATTGAGAGAGAACGTTGTAGTCCAATCACACTTGATTTGTCTACTTGTAATAGTTACCAAGTTACAAGGATTTCCCATATCATGCTGCCTACATGGCCCATATACTGAGATGCCCTAATCTTTCAATGACTTTCAGCATTCATTAAGATAGACACTTATAGAAATTATTTATGTAGTGTGTCCAAAAATTTATTTAGATGTGTCCAAAATTATGTGTGCAATTTTGTATTTCTGCTTTTTCCCCTCTTTTGGAGCATTTTCACTATATATCCTTCAAAACTGTAATTTTATTCGTTATATAGTACTGTCTCATTCACCTGGTGAATATTAGTTCCTATTTTGGTTATTATAAATTATTCTAATGAAAATCCTTGGACATAAATTTCTGGACACATCTTTGTTCACTTCCTGAACATAAAATTATAAAAATATACAGAAGGAGTAGGATTGAAAAAAATTATGGAAATAAAAATTACCGGGTCAAAGTACATATATTTATTTTATATATATATATATTTTTTTTTCTCTTTTTTTTTCTAGAGACAGGGTCTCACTCTATTGCCCAGGATGGAGTGCAGTGGCATGATCATGACTTACTGCAGTCTCCAATTCTTGGGCTCAAATGATACTCCTACCTCAGCCTCTCAAGTAGCTGGGACTACAGATAGGCTTTGCCACACCTGGCTATTTTTTTTTTTTTTTTTTTTCTAGAGACAGGGTCTCACTCTATTGCCCAGGATGGAGTGCAGTGGCATGATCATGACTCACTGCAGTCTCCAATTCTTGGGCTCAAATGATACTCCTACCTCAGCCTCTCAAGTAGCTGGGACTACCGATAGGCTTTGCCACACCTGGCTATTTTTTTTTTTTTTTTT